ACTCCGTGTATTTATTACAAGGCTTTCTTACAACATTGTTTCCAGCTCCATTGCAGTGTACATGGCCCTTCTCTAATCACTGGAAGGGCTCTGCAGCTGCGTTTCCGTGACTTAAGGTCTCTGTCGGAGGCGCCTTGTTTCCTCAGTCACTGCATGTACTTTTCTCTTTATGAAGCCGATTCTTCTCTGCCTGGGCTTTCTTTCATGTCTTTCTTTTGACTTCTGCCGTCTCTTCATCCTGACTGCCCACCCACAAATGCCCCTTGGCGCCTCCGGGAGCTGCGCTGTGCTCGGGAGTTTGCGCCTGGGACATGGGCAGCTCCAGTTGGGTGCTGGGTTCTCTCATCTGTATTCTATTCAGTGACAGAAGCGGCTGAGGCTGTGAGTCCTCCTCAGCATGCAGCTATGGCCACATTACATAAAACAAACAGTCTAGGTGCGACGCCGTGTGGCCGCCTACCAGGCACGACAGGTTCATGCCACCAGAGCAGGTGCGTAGAGGAGGCAGGAGGGTTGGTAGTGCCCTCTGACCCCAGCAGTTCTCCTCCTGGGGTCCCCCTGGCCTGGCCACACTAGACCCTGCTCCTGACCAAGGGAGTGCTCGGGGCACCCACAGGTCTGCTTCCAGCCTGGCTCCCTGGGTGTCCCCTGGCTTCTACCCAACACCACCTTCTGTCACCAGCACCTTGACCCTGTCTTCCTCATCTGAAGGGGCACTCACTGGGGGTTTAACTGGACACGATACATGCCCCAGCGTCCACGCAGCATCTGACTTCACTGAATGGAGCCATTTGTAATGAACTGAAGTGCTCGGGTGTGTGTGGGTGACCATGCAGAAGCCACTTGCTCAGCAAATCGTAACGACAAGTGCGGGCCTGATCGAGTGAGGTGGCTGAAGCCCTCAGCACCTGAGCACGAGGATATGGAACCATGACCTCATTGGGGTAGCCGGGGCCAGGCCAGCTTGGAGGGAGGTCCCAGGACTGTCAGCGTTGAGGTGGGGGTGGGGAGGCTGGGCCTGGAGCAGGTTGTGTCCCCTGCCACCCAAACAGGCTCTTCAGCCCTCACTGTCCCAGCCCGGAGATGGCATTTCCAGGCTGGGGGAAGGGGTGGGGCAAAGAAGCCATCTCCAAAGGCCACGGAGGTCCCTGGGAAACAGGCAGAGGGAGACTGAGGACCAGTGGGCGGCCCCAGATCCTGGCTCTCACTGCGGAAGATTCTGACCATTTACACACGGGTTTACACCGTGTCTTCTGTAAGGCAGCACGACAGGGAGCGTTCTACACAATCTGTAGTAACGGAACGCTTTGTGACCCTCAGTTTCCAGCCTCTGGATTTCACCACTTTTGGTTCCAAGTCCATTAAATATTTGCCATGGCCTGTGGCTTTCGCACTACTGACCCTAAACCCACTAAATGTGCTGCTGGGGCAGCTCCAGCCTCTGGAGCCAGTGTCCACGGGCCAAGTGCAGGATCCAGCACTCCTCTGCCCTCTCTGTGCCCACCTTCTCCTGGTCGTGGCCCCCCATGGCACTGCAGCCCACATGCGCGTGTGGTGGGCAAGGTCTGTGGTGGAGCTCAGGGCCTCACAGGACAGTGAGTGTCTGTGTGAGGAGAATTTTCTGGAGCACCCAGGCCCTCCTTCACCTCTGACACCAAAAGTACCCCCAGGCCAGTGCTGTCCCATGGGGAAGCACAAATTTCCAGAATTCAACCCCGGCCCCTTCCGGCCCTGCGGCTCTCAGAAATAGAGACTCAGTCACCACAGCCAGATGTCCTGCCCTTGCCCGGCCTGCACTGCCCGGCCTGCACGGGGTGGGCAAGAATTTGCATCTCAGTGTGTTTCCAGGAAGTGCTGCTATGACAACCCCTGACCGGGCCTGGAGGCTGACTGCAGGAAATGCCCCTCCCCCTGCATTTTTAAGCCAAGAATTGGGTCTCCTGTGCTTTCTGTGGGCAGTGGCATCTGGTGCCTGGACGTGGCAGGCAGGGCCCCTGTGCACACCTGGGCAGGTCCTGGGACTGTTCTCCTCGGCTGTGCCCCACATGCATGTTCTGTCACACACTCACACTTGATGCTTGCACGCAAACACACATGCTCTCACACGCGCTCACTCATGCGCTCACTGACACACCCCTCCTGGGCAACGGCCGCCCTCCTGATGGTTGGAGCTCCCAGAATTCCAGGGTCCCTCAGCTGGACTGACTGGGGTCAAATGCTGTCCTCTCCTCCCACCCATGGGCTGTCCCTTTTCTGACCCAGAGCCCCAGGCCTGGGCCTGTCTGTGGCCAGCCCCCCACGCTGCCCCTCAGATCTGCTGTAGCCCTCGGGGGCTCAGGGCCAAACTGTGAGGCTGGACAGGCTGTCAGCACGATTCCCGCATAGCCAGTCAGAGCCAGGCCTCATTCTGACCTTCATGTCTGTGGGGAGCCCAGCCTGACCATCATGTGCTGAGGACACTGTGGGGCTGGTCCAAGGCCCTGGAGGACTGAGCCTGCAGCTGAAAAAGTCAGTGGAATTTGCACTGGGAGGGGCAGTGGCCAGAGGGCGAGGGTGAGGCTGGGGGCAGCGGAGGTTGCAGAAGGACCTGTGCTGGTTCCACTAGGGCACAGGTGTGTCTGCGCTGGTGTGTTGGAACAAGAGGGGCTAATCTTAGGCCTCATTGAGTGCCCCTGACATGTCCCAACCACACAGGAAAGGACCTCATGGATGACGCTCCCAGTACCCTGTCACTTTCTCCAGTAACTAGAACGAAGCCTCAGCCATCATTGCCTCCTGCCTGCAGTGCTGCTGCCTGCCAGCCTGGAGATTGTTCTGGGGACATTGATGCTGACTCTGCTTGTCTTGGATGCCCTGGGGTCTGGCTACTGTCTTTCCCTTCCCCTGGGTGTCACCTGCCTGGCTGCACCCCAGAAACTTCTGGAACCTCTGACCACTCAGAGTCAGACTGAGAGCAGTGCAGCTACCTGATGCCAGGTGTGGGGGGCAGGCAAGCGGGACTCCCCGGGCACCCACGGAGTTTGGCTCATGGAGGACAGGCCTCGACGTTGTTCCTGCTGTGGGCTCTTGTCTTTGATCTTCTGGAATGTGCCACAGTTAAGTGGGGAGAATGTGGAGACATAGTGTAATCCCGCCAGTGGACACCGTCTACTGCCTTCCAAGATCAACCCAGCGACGGGGAAGTGATCCAGTGGCTTGGAGCTAGGCCTTCCCCAGTGTTGGCGTGTGAAGTGGCAGCAGGTTTGACAACCCTGAGTGTGTGGCCTGCAGCCGTGGAATCAGCCCCCCATGTACTTTTGCAGAAGGCAGACTCGCTGGCATGCTGGGGCATTGGCCTGGTTGGACACTGTGTTGGAAAACAGCAAAGCCATGGTGTCATGGGGCTGCAGGGGTTCCCAAGGCCCTGCCTCCCTCTCCCTGCCTGGCCTCAACACTCACTTGGTTCGTCTTTCACCTACCAGGAACAGGTATAGGTGTATGTGTGCACACACATGCACATGACCACACACAGATTTGCGTGTGTGTGCATACAGGCCATGCACATACATGTACACACACATGTGGATACATCTGCACAAGCCTCACCATTGGCATCAGGAGGGATGGGGATTTAGAGGCAGAACTGATCCAGAAGCTCTGACCCTCCTAGGGAAGGACATTAGGGAGAGCCTAATGGAAGAAGTGGCTTGAGCTGAGCCTGGAGAGCCGCAGGGCCAGGAGGGGCCGGGGTTGAATTCTAGAAATTTGTGCTTCCCCATGGGACAGCACTGGCCTGGAGAGGTGAGTGGAGCCCTCAGGCAAGTGCCAAGCTGGGGACACGCCAGGGTGTTTTTTGCCATGCACTCCTTGGTGTGGAGCAGGGAGGTCATGCACTCATGGCTCCTGCTGATACAGCAGCCTGAGTACAGCATGACAGCATCACCTACACTGGGGCCTGCCGGCATCCAGCCCGCCTGCTTTTGTGCATCACATAAGCCAGAGCGTTTGAATAGTTTGAAAAAACCAAAAGAGGAATATCTTGTGACACATGAAAATGATATGAAATTCACATTTCAGTGTCCACTGATAAAGTTTCATTGCAACAGCCCAGCCCATTCTCTCTCTTATTGTCTGTGGCCGATTTCCTGGTGCTACGGCAGAGTAGATTCCACAAAGACCGGAAGGCCCGCGAGGCCGGAAGTTCTGCCGAACCCTGACCTTGAGCCCTCTACTGTGGGAGTTAATGAAATGTGCATCTTTGAATCGGAAATGTGGTCTCTATTTAGGAAAAAATACACTAAATTAGTAAATCCCAGTGGACTAAAATGTTAAAAATCACAGAAGGTGCTGGAGGAAGCATGTGAACACACGTGTCACTTCCGGGCAGGAAGTAGTGTCATCAGGCTGCAGGTCGCGTGGGTCTGGGGAGCCCAGCTGGGCTGGCCGAGGAGCACATTCCAAGTGCAACGTGACTTTTTGTCTTCGTCCTTGGCTTCTGGTTTTGTTTCCTATAAAAAGGTGAAGTTGCTCCTCCAGATCTAGTCTCTCTCTTCCAGGACTTTATTCAAGCCTCGGCTGCTGCGTCTTAAAGTCAGTATCACTCAGGCGTGTCACATCAGCGAGTCACGGTGCCCCCTCCGTTCACCCACCCCGGCCTTGGTCTCGAGGCGCCAGGACACGCCTTATGGGCTTCATCCCCAAGTCTCCCCTGCATGAGGTGTCTCTGGCCCCTGAGGAGAGCGACGTGAGGGCCTCCACTCTCTGCAGCAACCCTGCCCTCGCCCTTCTCAGGCACATGCCAAAATCTCCAGCATGTTCGGCTCCAGCCTCCGAGCTGGGAGCTGGCGTGAGCCATGGTCTCCCTGTGCCCTGAGCCGCCTGCCCTCGGACCACTGGTGACCTTTCTCTCCCTCTGTGTTTAGGGGATGATCGCAGAGCTGAGGGTGCGTGGGGACCCCCAGGTGAGCCCCCTGCACTGCCTGGACGAGGAGGACGATGATGCAGACGGGGTAAGTGACCGTGTGGGCTGGGGCTGGGGTCTCCCCCGTCGTGGGAGGCTGGGCCCAGGATCGAGGGCTGGCCTTGCCCTGGATCCCAAAGTGATACAATGGGGAAGTCCCAAAAGATGCCACCTGCGGACCAGCAAGCTGGGTAACATTTCATGAGCTCCTGCAATTTCCCTCTGTAGAGAAATATGGAATATAAAGTAAACATTCAAAACCACCCCTGTGATAGCCAATTGGGTGATAAAGCAGATAGGAGTGACCTCGGAAAAATAGACGAGGGCACTTCAAACATTAGTGAAGAGATAGAGGTGAAAGAATACGAATCTTCCCACGAACTTTTTGAAGGTCCCTTATATATGTGTGTATATGGTGTGTGTATGTGTGCATGGTGTGTGTGTCTGTGGTGTGTGTGTGGTATGTGTCCGTGTGTGGTGTGTGTGTGGTATGTGTCTGTGTGTGGTGTGTGTGTGTGTAGTGTAATGTGTGTATGTGGTGTGTGTGTGTCTGTGTGTGGTATGTGTCTGTGTGTGGTGTATGTGGTGTGTGTGTGTGTCTGTGTGGTGTGTGTGTGTCTGTGTGGTGTGTGTGTCTGTGTGGTGTGTGTGTCTGTACGTGGGGTGTGTGTCTGTGTGTGGTGTGTGTGTCTGTACACGGTGTGTGTGTGGTGCGTGTGTCTGTGTGTGGTGTGTGTGTACACGGTGTGTGTGTGGTGTGTGTGTCTGTGTGGTGTGTGTGTGACTGTGTGGTGTGTGTGTGTGGTATGTTTCTGTGTGGTATGTGTCTGTGTGTGGTGTGTGTGTCTGTACGTGGTGTGTGTGTGGCTCGTGTGTCTGTGTGTGGTGCGTGTGTCTGTACATGGTGTGTGTGTGGTGCGTGTGTCTGTGTGTGGTGTGTGTAGCCTCTTAAGCAGAGACGGGCTGTGCTGGGCGTGGGCGGTTGTGTAGATGCATGTACACTGCACATGTATTGAGTATTTTGCCTGATAGATCTATTGCTTTTATACTGAGAGAGATCCTGGAAGTAGTTGAATTTTGTTGTTGTGTTGGGGTATTTCTGGCAGCTGGCCAGGACAGGGGTTGAACCCTAGACCTTGGTGTGGGCAGAACCGCGCTCTTCCCGCTGGGCTAACCAGCCAGCTGTCATTCTTTCCCGGTGGCCATGTCAACACTGGCCACGACAACACTGGCTCCCTGATGCTGCTTCCTGTGTGCAGGGCTGTGGGCTGCCCGGGGGGCGGGNGTGTGGTGTGTGTGTGGTATGTGTCTGTGTGTGGTGTGTGTGTGTGTAGTGTAATGTGTGTGTGTGGTGTGTGTGTGTCCGTGTGTGGTGTGTGTGCGTCTGTGTGGTGTGTGTGTCTGTTTTGTATGTGTGATGTGTTTGTGGTGTGTGTGCCTGTGTGGTATGTTTCTGTGTGGTGTGTGTGTCTGTGTGTGGTGTGTGTGTGTCTATGTGTGGTGTGTGTGGTGTACGTGGTGTGTGTGTGGTGTGTGTGTGTCTGTGTGTGGTATGTGTCTGTGTGTGGTGTATGTGGTGTGTGTGTGTCTGTGTGTGGTATGTGTCTGTGTGTGGTGTATGTGGTGTGTGTGTCTGTGTGGTGTGTGTGTCTGTACGTGGTGTGTGTGTCTGTGTGTGGTGTGTGTGTCTGTACATGGTGTGTGTGTGGTGCGTGTGTCTGTGTGTGGTATGTGTGTCTGTACATGGTGTGTGTGTGGTGCGTGTGTCTGTGTGGTGTGTGTGTCTGTACACGGTGTGTGTGTGGTGCGTGTGTCTGTGTGTGGTATGTGTGTCTGTACACGGTGTGTGTGTGGTGCGTGTGTCTGTGTGTGGTGTGTGTGTCTGTACACTGTGTGTGTGTGGTGCGTGTGTCTGTGTGTGGTGTGTGTGTCTGTACGCGGTGTGTGTGTGGTGCGTGTGTCTGTGTGTGGTGTGTGTGTCTGTACACGGTGTGTGTGTGGTGTGTGTGTCTGGTGTGTGTGTGTGGTATGTTTCTGTGTGGTATGTGTCTGTGCGTGGTGTGTGTGTCTGTACACGGTGTGTGTGTGGTGCGTGTGTCTGTGTGTGGTGCGTGTGTCTGTACGCGGTGTGTGTGTGGTGCGTGTGTCTGTGTGTGGTGTGTGTAGCCTCTTGAGCAGAGACGGGCTGGTGTCTGTGTGGTGTGTGTGTGTCTGTGTGGTGTGTGTGTCTGTGTGGTGTGTGTGTCTGTACGTGGGGTGTGTGTCTGTGTGTGGTGTGTGTGTCTGTACACGGTGTGTGTGTGGTGCGTGTGTCTGTGTGTGGTGTGTGTGTCTGTACACGGTGTGTGTGTGGTGCGTGTGTCTGTGTGTGGTGTGTGTGTACACGGTGTGTGTGTGGTGTGTGTGTCTGTGTGGTGTGTGTGTGACTGTGTGGTGTGTGTGTGTGGTATGTTTCTGTGTGGTATGTGTCTGTGTGTGGTGTGTGTGTCTGTACGTGGTGTGTGTGTGGCTCGTGTGTCTGTGTGTGGTGCGTGTGTCTGTACATGGTGTGTGTGTGGTGCGTGTGTCTGTGTGTGGTGTGTGTAGCCTCTTAAGCAGAGACGGGCTGTGCTGGGCGTGGGCGGTTGTGTAGATGCATGTACACTGCACATGTATTGAGTATTTTGCCTGATAGATCTATTGCTTTTATACTGAGAGAGATCCTGGAAGTAGTTGAATTTTGTTGTTGTGTTGGGGTATTTCTGGCAGCTGGCCAGGACAGGGGTTGAACCCTAGACCTTGGTGTGGGCAGAACCGCGCTCTTCCCGCTGGGCTAACCAGCCAGCTGTCATTCTTTCCCGGTGGCCATGTCAACACTGGCCACGACAACACTGGCTCCCTGATGCTGCTTCCTGTGTGCAGGGCTGTGGGCTGCCCGGGGTGCAGGGAGGGTCAGCCGCTGGGGCATCCTCTACACACACCCCCCACCAGGGCCCGCCTCAAACTGTGCGGTCGTTAGTGGACTCAGGTGACATTTCCCCTCTGGGTTTTCATTAAGTTCAAACTGTGGCAGAGAGAAGGGCAGTCCCCCCGAGAGCAGGTCAGATGCACAGCCGTGGGTACAGTGAGGATGTCGGTCCAGGCAGGCGTCCGGGGTGGACGTGATGACAGGCCATGTCTCCATGGCGGCGCTGCTCTGTGTAGAGGCTGCTGGGCTTCACGAGGCACTTCCTCGACGGCAGGCTCCCACCTGGCACGGCCTGCACACTGACGAATGCTGTGCCCTGAGCGTCCTGGAACGGGGTGGCCGTGGAAGGAGAAGGGAGTCCCTTCCTCAGGGTTCTCTATGTCTAGCCAACGCCAAGCTGAGCTCTGAAGGGCCGTCCAGTTGATCTGGCTGGACACGACTTACTGGTCACCATCCTCCCCTGACTCCTCCCTCCAAGGATGCTGGGCACAGCCGCGAGGGGCAGTGTTGGTGGGGCTTCAGGGAGTCCGACGCTGCCACCTGGCTCTCCAGGCCCTGCGGGGGTGGGTGCCCGGGCCACGTTGTTCCACTCATTTTTCTCAAATCCTTCAGGCGTCCGGAGACTTCGGAAGTGGACTGCAGGAGAGCGGAGAGCGCCTCACAGAGGGAACGGTGAGTCGTGCGTGAGGCCAAGACCACCCTCCTGCTCCTGAGAGGGCTCGCTCTGGCTGGGGTCCGACCCCAGCAGTGGGGGTGCACACAAGTGTGCGACTTCCACGGGCTCCTCTGTGTCACGAAGACAAATTCTCAGAGGGAAAGGGGAGGTGGGGACATGTCTGAGGATGGGCTTGCCCCTTCCAGCCCCCCTCCTTAAAATGAGGTTCCTGACCCTAGCCTTCCCGGCTCTGTGGAGTGACCCTGGTGTTCCAGCTGCCCCTGCTCCGCATTAAATTATAGGCAGCCATAACGAACCAATGGGTCTGTAAATCTGTTAGGGTGAAGAAGGGTTCTTCTGGGGAGCCAAACTGTGTTTTTTCCGGCTTGGGCCACCTGAAAAAACACACAGGAGGGGGCAGGAGGAGGATCCAGGGATATGAAAGGGCCGTGGGTTTTTCCAGTGTGGATGAACTGCGTGGGCCCCTCTGTGCCCCCGGCATCTGGAGGGAGGTCCTGTCTTCACAATGGGTCTTGACCCAGGGCTTGGGTTCTGGGGACTCCATGACCTTTGCACTGGTGTGTGTGGGGTCAGGCAGCTTTTGGGGAGAGAACATGCGCCCAACTGGGACTGGTCCTACCACCCAGCAGGACCCCCGGACACAATACAGGATGGCAGCCCAGCGATGGCCCCTGCCAGGGTTGGATGGGCTCTCACCCTGCAGCTGCCAGCCCTCTTCTGCAGGGTTGGTCCTGGGGACTGTTATGTCTCTCCAGGGGCCTGGGCATGTGGGCTGGGCCGGGCTGAGATGAGATGACTCAGCCTTGGGATCACTAATAACCGGAACGGGGCCCTGTTCACACATTCCCACCTCGGCCCCACAACCTGCTGCTTAATGAAGCACTTGGCCCTGGCCAGGCCAGCACTGTAGAGAATCGGGCCCAGCAGACCGGCTGTATGGGGCATCCCTGAAGGGCCTGGCCAGACGACCAACTGTGTGGGAGCCTCTCTCAGGCTGGCGAATGCTCTGGTCTCCCACTGCAGCCCCACCCCAGCAGACCGGCTGTATGGGGCATCCCTGAAGGGCCTGGCCAGACAACCAACTGTGTGGGAGCCTCTCTCAGGCTGGCGAATGCTCTGGTCTCCCACTGCAGCCCCACTCTGGGATATCTGCATGGCCAATCACAGCTTGGGGCCCCCTCGGACCCTCCTCTGGGTGACCAGGTGTTGGCCGAGGAGGGAAGACCTGGGGTCCAGCTCCGGCTGCTGCTCACCTGCCAGGCATCAGAGGGAGCCCTCGGTCAAGCTTCACGGTCACTGCCTGGCCAGAGTGACCACGGGGCCTGTCCACCAGGATGTGCGGGCCACATGCGGAGATGTGTGGGGGCTCTCGACCGCACATTTGAGCACCCACTCACCTGCGTCCTGGAAGCACCATGCGCCTTTGGGAACAGGGGAGATGGATTTTCAGAGCAGAGCGGTTGTCCACTCAGGGCCAGGGATTCCTAGGAATCAGTCAGCAGTGGCAGCTGCAGGCATGGGGCCCAGGGCATGCAGACCCCGCTCATGACTCTCAACGAAGACACACCTGCCCTGCAGCATAGCTCACACCCCACAGCTGTGCAGCTGGACACGAGGAGGCTCCGCAGGCACCTGGCACCATGTTTAAGACTCACCCTTCCATGTCCCCCGACTGTGGGAAGTAGCGTGTCCTGGGCCCTGACAAGGCTCTGCCACTCCTGGTGCTCAGGGAGCCGTCAGGCTGAGGAGGGGACTTGCTGAGCTCGCAGGGTGGGGCAGCCAGGGCTGTGGAGACACTGTCCCCAGGGGCTGTTCAGCAGAAAACCCAAGCAAGCAGCTCTGGAGGGAGTCCTGGAGCTCCTTCTAAGATGATGTTTTTCTTATCTTTCTTAAAACCCGTACATATTTTACTTCACACGCCAAGTAAATCTTGGCCGGACAGATTTGCCGGCACACGTGCTCATAGGACCACACGTGTGCTGGGTACTGAAGCCAGCTTGTCACTTTCACCTGCCAGGCCACGTCCCTCACACCCAGCCTCCCCCAGCCTCCCCCGGTCACTCCTCCACCCACAGAAGACTCCAGAGCCGAAGTCCAGGAAGAAACCACGGTGGTGCCACTAGCAGGTAAAGCTTTTCTGTGTGTTGTGTGTGTGTGTGTGGGGGGGGTGTATGGTGTGTGTATGTGTGGTGTCGTGGGTGTGGGTGTGTTGTGTGTGGGGGGGTGATGTGTGTGGTGTGGTGTGTGATGTGTTGTGTGTTGTGTGGTGTTTTCTTTGTTGTGCTGTGGTGTGGTGTGTGTGTGTGTGTGTGATGTGGTGTGTAGTGTGTGTGGTGTGGTGTGTGTTGTGTGTG